CCCAAAAACAGAACCCCATATTGTCAACATGAGGCCATACTGCCATGCCGGAGAGTTTACTGGTGTCACCACCAAGTGGTCTATATCCCACCATAGCTATAGGCGATGGAGAGACACCGGGAAAAGATGTAATAGCTGCAGATATCATTTAAAAAATGAACTTTTCTTTGTTTAAATGTAGATGTTTTACACCATCCACTGACGAAATTTAGATCAGTTAGGTTGCGGGCTTCTTTCTGACCAGGCCTACGAGGACTAAGACGGATACAATATCCCAGCAAAAAGACCGATAAACTCAACACCCTCCCCCCAAACCTCCCGCCACACACACACAGGAATGGAGCTCAGGTCGACTGCGTGTGACGGCAGATCACCTAACAGCTACACCACCCTGTGTGTGCTATTATCTTGACGCTCGGTGACTTCAACCACTGCCGCCTCGGCCCGCCATGTCACATGAGCCACAAGACTACAGAAGGTCATAGACTACAGCTGTTTGTTGTTGTTGTTGTTGTTGTTGTTTTTTACGTTCTACGGCACTTGCATCATTATCGGGCCACATATTATAACACAAAAAGAAGGACAATAGATAAGGACGATAACAGTTTGACGAGAAAGGAATAAACTACACCAGAGCACCCACCAACCACCTGTTGTTGTTGTTGTTGTTGTTGTTGTTGTTGACGTTCTACGGCACTTGCATCACAATCGGGCCGCATATTATAACACAAAAAGAGAATAGATAAGGACGTTAATGTTTGACAAGAAAAGAGTAAACTACACCAGAGCATCCGCCATCCACCCACCAACCCATAGACCTACGTGATTGTCAAAAACGGCTTGGTTTAGTTGTTTTTTGGATTTTTTTTAGATTACTTTAATTTGGGCAGCACTCAGTACGATATCCCTTGGAAACCCAAACAGAATAGGGGGAGGAAAGGGGGGAACAGAAAGAAAGTAAAAAAGATCAGGTATAGCGAGGCCCTTTTTCCAGCTAATGTTTTTGGCAATACAAGATCCCTCAATATTAAACTAGAGAGATTGTCAACATGCTGCCGACACCTTAATGAACCCCTTGTCGTTAGGTTCTTGCCTTCACCGAAACGTGGGAGGAATCAGCGACAGCCGATACGACTTCACCTATCGACGACTACCAAGTGTTTCGTTGCGACTGATCTTCTGTAGCCGGAAATAAACTTAGGGGACAGCAAGCACTTCCATTAAACCAGCGCTGGACATACCGCAACAACTTCACAGTAAGGGAACATGTTTGAAAACGTGCCTTTTTCTGCTCATCAGATACGTCAGTCTCATAGAAATGGGCAAGGGAAAGGAAAAAGAAACACGTTTAAACAATGTAAGTGTTTTAATGTCTCAGTTAATACAATTTAAGTTATTTAGGGGGCGGGCTTCCGACTCATCTTGTCAGGGTCAACCCAGGCTGAGAGGGATATACCATCCCAGCAAATAGGCGAGATATTCATCAAAAGTTCGGTCCTTACTCGGGAATCGAACTCCGTCTCCAGCGTGCAACAGCGAAGCGCCTAACAGCTACACCGCAGACGACGATGAAAAGAAACACTATATACCCCAAAAACTGAACCCCATATTGTCAACTTGGGGCCATACTGCCATGCCAGAGAGTTTCCTGGTGTCACCACCAAGTGGTCTTTATCCCACCATAGCTATAGGCGATGGAGAGCGGCACCAGGAAAAGCTGCAATAGTTGCAGATATCATTTTAAAAAATGAACTTTTCTTTGTTTAAATGTAGATGTTTTACACCATCTACCGACGAAATTTGTATAATTTAGGTTACAGGCTTCTTTCTGACCAGGCCAACACGGGCTAACACGGATACAACATCCCATCAAAAAGTCCGATAAACTCGAACACCTCCCCCCCCCCCCAAACCTCCCTCCACACACACACACAGGAATGGAGCTCAGGTCGACTGCCACAAGACTACAGAAGGTCATAGACTACAGCTGTTTGTTGTTGTTGTTGTTGTTGTTGTTTTTGACGTTCTACGGCACTTGCATCACTATCGGGCCACATATTATAACACAAAAAGAGAATAGATAAGGACGAAAAATGTTTGACAAGAAAGGAGCAAACCACATCTGTGCACCCGCCTTCCACCCACCAACTCATAGACCTACGTGAAGACAAAGTCAAAAACGGCTTAGTTTAGTTGTTTGTTTGATTTTTTAAAAGTTTTAGTAAAGTTTCACTGCACTTACAACACTGTAAGGTCAGATCATATAAGTGCCGAAGATTATTAATGTTACAAGAGAAACAAACTCAAAAAAGGAGGAGGAGAGATAAAGATAAAAAAAATGTTTGAAAGGAAAGAAGGAGCAAACCATACCAGAGCACCCTCCAACCACTCATTTGAGGACGGCTACAAGTCTCTATCCCTATCTCTTCCAGGAGACTCGGATCACAACAACATCCCTCCGCTCCCCTGGCACCGCCCCCTGCTGTAGATGCAGAAACCTACGACAAGAACGGTACCATCATGGAGAAACGGCTCGCCCCAGCAGCTACGGGGATGGTTCGACTTCACAGACTTACTTACTTTCTTACTACCCGTTACGCCATCTGGCATTTAGGGCAGCAACAAAGGATCTCCAGCTGTGTCTGTTTTGGGCCATCTTGGTCAACGTCCCCCACGAATGGTTCCGGGGCTTTTTTTTAGTACAGGCTTTACGGCGCTCGCAACTGCATAAGGTCATATGACCGCCAGAAGATTAGAGGTGTTACTAGAGAGTCTTACTTTTACTTTTATCCGCCGCTTATACCCTTTTGGGTGTCGCGGGAAGAAAGAGACATCTCTCTGTCGCCAGTCGGAGAGCTTAGCCATCGACTAAAACGCCACTAGAAGAAGTTGATTCCTTCACTTACTTAGGTAGCATGATAGTTAAGGTTGGAGGAACAGATTCAGATGTAAAGACAAGAATAGACAAGGCAAGAGGTTCTTTCACATAACTAGGAAACATGAAGAAGTCAGGTATTATAGGAACAAAACTAAGACAGTAATCTACACCATTTGAAAGAACCCTATGACTTAATGACTGAATGACAAACAAAATGGAAGAAAGCAGAACGAGTTGGAACTGTCCTACCTTAAACAAAGACATGTCGATGAAGGAGCCGAAATTACAATTTGATTTCTTCTCCGCTGATAATTCTTCTTGGTGGCTTTCAGTACTGCTCTCATGTGACTCGTCTCCTGGCTTCTCATTGGCCGGTGTAGAACCCAACGTCGCAACAGAATCCTTGACTGACGTCTCATGACGAGGTAAAGAGAGTACGTCAGCTTCCACACTGACGTTGATGGCGTTTGTGAGTGGAGATTGGAGTGCTGTGGGTGTATCGGAATTCTCCGCCCCATTGGAAACATTGGAACTTTCTTCAAGGATACCCAACATTTCACTGGGAATATCCAAACTTTGAGAAGAAATGGCTGTGGTTTTGTCAGTGGGAATATTCAAACTTTGAGGCGAAACGTCTGTGGTTTTATCAAAAGTACCCAAAGTTTGAAAGCTCACGTTTTCAGTTTCAGAGTCACCCAAAGAAGAGGGCATAGGGTGGGATGTCGAAAGAGTGCTATCCTTGGGGTGATATCTGCTGGTGTGCATACCACCCACATTCACAAAACCATTTTTAAAACTTTCTTCTGCATCCGATGAAAAGGTGGGCTCTTGTTTCAAAGGCACTGATTCATTTGTTTCCAATTGAGAGCTGGAACATACACAGCTTGTAGTTGTTTCTTTATTGGGAGGTAGACGACTCTTGGCAAGTGTCGGGTCAGTATTCTGAGACCGTCTCGTTGAACCTTGAACTTCACAGTTTGTATTTTGAGATATAAGGATTTTTTCATCATCTTTTAATTCCTTGGGCTCATATGACAGCAATTGTTTCTGTCGTATTTTGAGCCTGTGTAGTTTTCTGTTGAAATAAAAAAAACGGTTTAAGAGAGTAGGAGACGCAGGGAAGATGAGATGTGCCCTTGAGAATATGAACGATGTATCTCCACTTTTGGTCAAATTTTGACTTATGACTACAACGGGGTAAATCTGTCATATCTTGCTTAGTGCAAAAAAATAATAAAAACCAAACTCCTTAGCAGTTATTTTGAAAGATTTTTCAAGTACTTGGAACCGAATTGGTTCGAGTTTTTCGTTTTAAATACAGAATCTATTTTCTCAAATCTACCCAACGCTGAGTTATACCACACTTGTTGTCATGAGCGCAATTTATCAACATGAAAGATGAAGCAAGTATAGTTTTGTTGTTATACAAAACATTACTAATTTGCCACTGTAAATTATTTATATGTGTAGTTTTGTCACAGACTTCAACAGACAACCCACACACACACATACCCTCCCCTTGACTCCAGTGGCTAAGTGAATAGTGAGTTTAGACTCAAGTAATGTCAAGCAAGTGACGGTGACACGGGGAACAGATAGGTGGTCACAGGGGTGTGTCCTTGAGCAAGACACGACAACCCTAGCTCATTATACAGGGCGCTGCACAGTGGTGACCGACAGTGGCATGTTTGTAAACTGTTCTGTATTTGTGTAATATTGTGTATTCATGTATTTATGTATTATATTTAAGCATGTATTTATGTATGTACGTACTTATAAAATCATGTATTTATGTATGTAAATGAATGTTGCCATTGTAGAACAAAGTGCCCTTTCGGGACAAATAAAAAGTATAGTTTAATTTTTAATTAATTAATTTAATTTTAAGAATTCCTCTTTCTGAAAAAGAAAAGAGTATGTGTGTTTATGGGGGGTGGGGGTGGGGGTCTTTTTCTCACTTCACCTCAATCTTCCACACCCATCACCCCTTTATTCTCCCATCCTTCATCATCACCCCCTCCCCCACCTCCGCCTGTGTACACGTGCGCAACGTACGCACGCACACTATCACACACACACACACACACACACACACACACACACACACACACACACACGCACACATACACACATACACACACACACACACACACATACACACACAAGATGTCCGGCTTACCTGTAAGATTCCACAGGTCTCAACAACAAATATACCGCCACGTAGTGCAGCTCCAGAGAAGAAAGGATCATGAGACTGCCCTGTACCCCATACTGGCTCCTGAGGAAACATACATGAAGGGAGATATTTGTTTGAGTAAAAGAAGCTCATTGTGGATATATTAATGGTCTTTTAGTGCTGGGAAAAAGCAAGACAGAAACAACAGAGGAAAAGTAAAAGAGTAGGACCTACCACAGGGGCCCTCCAACCACCGCATGAAGGGTGCAAATGCATGGGAAAATAAGATGTTTGTAAAATGTTGAAATAAACACAAATGAAGTGCTAGGCAACCCACACTTGTTTCCTTATACCTAGGCCACCGACGCCACTGTTACTAGAGAGTAACATGCAAAGAAAAGAAGGAAGAGAGATAAAGACGATTAGCGTTTGACAGGGAAAATGAGCAAGCCACACCAGAGCACCCACCAACCCCCAAATCATATTTTATTCACTGGACAAATAAATGGGACAGAAGTGGAGCTTGAACACTTTCCGACTCACTCCACAAATCAAATTAGCCCAAAACTGACTTCGCGATTTTTTTTTTTGGGGGGGGGGGGTTGTTTGTTTTTCGTTTTGTTTGTTGTTGTTTTTTTTGTTATTTGGTTGGTT